CACGGGCGCCTGCAGGATCTCATTTGAGTGTTTGCACAGAGACAGAGTTTTTTCCCCCTCAAAAACAACACTAAAAAGATTCAAAAATCAATATATGCACGTTAAAAATGCTTTAAAGCCTGAAGACGGCAAAAAGCAACGATCAAAGACATCCATCCAGCACATGTTCATCGAGCGCGCATCCATCGAGCGCATGTTCGGGCCGAACAAATGCCAATAGACTGAACACAATCGCGTTTGGAGAGAACTGACTCAGAACAATGATTAAATTGCGAATGATTGGCATCGCTGGTTCAGATACCATATATATAGGTAAGGCCTAGGTAAGATGACCCCAACCCAACCCACACTTTAAATTTCCTGTTAACCACAGACAAAGAGACAAAACTCACTTCAGCATATTTATAAATTGCCTGTGCACTAATTCATGTTGACATTTCATTTGAGCAACAGTATTTGTGAGAGTAATCTCATTAGAACTTTTTAAAGGTAAATTGATCAATTTATTTTGATATTTGAAAAAGATGAACTGTGTGTTTATTGAATATGAAAAGTTTGTATGTATATTTGTTCTCTGCAGACTTAAGGGTAGAATAATTAACTTAAATTAAGAAAAAAATTAAGAAGTGTGTGTGTGTGTGTGTGTACAAATTGGGGACAAATTTGTAAGTGAACTAAATCTGAAAAAACTCATTTTGTGGACATCCAGGGTCATCCTCATTTGTAAAAACGATATAGAAAAGAAAAGTATAAAAGTACAGAAAATTTTCTGTGAGCATTAGGGTTTCAGGTTATAGTATTTACAATTTGACAAAAGTAATTTATGGAATATCCCCATTTAAATAGCTAAGTAAACATGTGCGTGTGTGTAAACGTAATTTTTTTTTATTGAATTCATGTTATTTAATAATTCTTCGGCCTGAGAACAATACTGTAAATTTCCTAAGTCATCACTACCTAAAACTGAGTGGAATAATTCTCTCACTGCACTGTAACTTGCTATTTTGTGACCTGTTTTCAAGTTCCAGTATTGAATGTAATTACCTTTCAGATACCACTCTCTGTAACAGTGCTTCTGTACTTTATTTGTCATTATGAAGTGTTCCATTTCAGTGAATTTATTCAAATTATATTGCCAAGATGCACAATTTTACCAATTTAGTTAGATTTTCCAAAAATACAATTATTGATTAATTTGGTCTTTAGATAAAATCTTCTGTAAAGGTCTGATGCTCCAGAGGCTTCTTGCCCCAGGTCGGGGTCATTTTGCCCCAATGGTGAGGCAAGAAGCCCCCCTTTCATAATTTTCATTTTTATGCCATTACAACCATTTGATTCTCATAATAGTGTGTTGGGTGATGCATAACAATCATCTACATGCTAAACTCATTTAAATATGTTGCGGTTTATCAGTATATGGATATTGTTCTTCCTCCATCTTACATATTTCTGCATGATTCAGTCAGTCGATGCAATGAATAGCAAAATACAAATTTAAACACATAGCACTATTGTTTCATCTTTTGAAAATTGAAAGAAATAATTATTTTAATATGATCTGTAAAAATAGCAATAGATGTCAAAATAACTTGGTACTTTTAATATTATTTAATATTACAGAGGATTAATATAAGTGTTGAAGTATGTTTTATGTCTGTTTTTGCTGGCTGTTATCAATATCAGGAAATGAGCAAAAATTTCACCTCTAATTTAATTTCACCCTCATTATCAATGCTAAGCTTGCAGACATGAGTCTTTTGTCTTTGATGACAGAGGTTTGATGTTTGACTGACTTCATGAATGAAACTATAAAAATGTTATGGCATATAAAAAATTCCACAGTGAAATATGAGTCAAGGTTGTTATCTAAAGATATTTTCAATTAGCTCCAAAGTTCAAGTACTTAATTTGTCAGTAGAACAGGCCATGTAGTGTTCTTCAAACCATCTGTAGTATAGTTTCAGGAGAATGAAATGCTTTCATTCCATTTTTGAAAGTACAAAGTGACCATTACTTTGCTCACACATCACATTATGTGTCACAGCTCTCTGTTTCCAGTGTTGCAATGCATTGGGGTTCAGGGAAGCTTTCTTTTGGTGCCGTTGTTTGTTCTAGAGGGCGACCGCGTAGCGGCTAGCTTACTCAGTAGTCTGCCTGGCCCCACCTCATCCCTTTTAAAACAGGACTCCCAGAAAGCAACATAGACATTATCCCTGCGCCACACTGCCCCGGCCGCCCTGCTCCAGACATGTTCTTCAGCTCTGTGGATACCATATTATGACTGTGGAGACAGAAGAGAAAAAGCACCTTTGAACATTTGTATCTGTGCAGGGAAACGGAAAAGTAAAAAAGCTAAAAGCATTTGCATTTAGCTTGTTTGTCTGTCTCCTCAATAGTTGACGCTGCTTTTCCGGGAGGATTTGAATAGATTAAACTTTTTAAATCAACACTGCATTCTCCCACACTTCTCAGGGTTTCTCAACAGTTAGCATGATTCTGCATAAAACAGCATAATCAACTTGAATAATATTGTCTGTTCTCCTATATGCATGAATGTTTTTTAGTTTCTGTCTCTAATTGATCTCATTTGTCACATTCTCGAAGCAGGATCACTGTCGGAATGGCTCTCAGCTGTGTTTCTAGCCGTGGTGTTTTTAACTCCATGGTGGGCTGACCTCACAGTGAACTGGATTTCTGAGTGTGTGTGGTGATTTTGGCTCAGCCAGTGTTGCTCTAATTTGATTTCAACCACACCAGATCATACCAGTTTGGGATTCATTCATGCAACTTGCAAAGAATTAACTCAAATATTTGCCCTTTGCATATGTAAACAGAACTGATTTTCCTAGAGAATGTTCTGTGCACCCAATTTAACTACGACACGCTGTAAAATCAAACAATTGCCTTTCTTTGAGATGCCTAATATAATTAACTTGTGTATCTCGATTTGGCAATCTTGTGCTTTGAGTTGAAGGTACATTCGAAAATAAGGACAAATAGATGAATCAGATAAGTGAATTACAACGCAAATTTTTCATATACTTCCGTTATTAGATTTATGGTGCAGCAGCCACCAGTTTGAGTGACTGGATTTAATTTGTACATGACAAACACTGCCTTTTTATGAAAAGAGAGATAATCATTTTTGGGTGAACTTAAGCTAATCTACTAAAATGAATGAATGCATGATTGTTAAATCACCACTGTAAAGTTTGTAAAGTTATTGCTTATTGAATCCATGGAAAAAAGCCTGCCTGACTAAGGCATGAAAGGATCAACTTAATTAAATCTCAATGGCACAATAGAGCTTTGAGGCCCTTAGGAAAAGAACTAAAGCAGATTAAACCAACAAATGCAGAGGCGCCATTATGATGTCACATAAAACATTTAATTACATATCAGCTGATTCTTTTTTTCCCACATGTCTCTGTTTCTTATTCTTTATTCCTATACAGTCTCGAAAAATATGAAGCATGGTGGGTGAAATAAAAGTAGACAGCATCATAAATCATTCTGTCATCAGGTAATTATCTAAATATAATATTTAGCATTTACTTTCTTTCACCCCTTTTCCTTCATTTAAATCATTCAGCAGTCCATATAACTCTTAGATTATTTAAAGTCCATGTATGTACAGTATGTAATGTGTCTGTGATATATACATTTCTGTGTGTAGAGTTTGGCTTGTAGACGTATTGCTGTTTATTCTTAATCCTGTCTCTGTTTTGTTTCTTTAAGCACTAAGTCTGTCAGTCACTGTAGTAATTATAGTGAGACTGGAAGGCTGGCTCGGGACGGCCCGCTCCTTAAACATCCTTCAGACCCAGATCCAGAAGCACTGCCAAAACCATTTCGCTACCTTTTTACTTCTTTTGAAAATCCTCTCTTTCTTCATCTATGACTATGTCCCCCTCTCGTTTGAATCTCAAAGGCAGTTTGAAATACCCCAAATTGTTGGATAAGTATCTGTCTATGGAGGTGGTTGTCTTTTGGGGCTGTTTTGCTTGCTTAGGAAAAAATATTTGTCTTTGCTTCATCATATAATTTTGAATTATAATATTTGTATAGGCTTGCAGGGTTTTTATAAATAAATTGTGTACTTTATGAAAGACTGAGCCACTGTAGACTGTCCAGCATTTCCTGTCAATAGCTCTGTAGCAGAGAAATCAATATGGTCCCCTTGGAGCCAGACACAGTTCTGCTGTTCAGCTCCAGTGTTTATCAGACTGGCCACAGTCATATATAAAGAAGACAATCATTCTTCATTTTATTCCTGCTTGTTTTGCATGTGTGTGTATCAGTGGGTGACTATTACATTTCTGAATTTGTTGATAACTTTTCCTTCATCAGTAATACACTGTAGAAAAAAAAGTAAAAAAAAAAAAAGATTATTGGAGCACATTTTACAATAAATAAATAAAATACTTTTTCAGACTTTCAAAATTTAATGTTTATTTCAGTGTGTTGTTTTTGTTTCTTTGTAATTATTTGTGAAATCTACTAACAATTTCTGAGGGAAAATTGTTTCAAAGTAAATCCTATACACCTGTTCTTTTCAGTGCACATTCTCATTTTATTAACTGAACTTTTTAATATATATTTATGTGTGAATGTTCAGTGTTAAACTTCTATTCTATTCTATTCTATTCTATGGGTTGTTGACTAGAAAGTGCCTGACTGTATTTGACCATTTCTATCATGCATAGTCAAGATTTCGGAGTGTTTAATTAGATTTTTATATCTTGCAAATATATTACAGAGATTTTTTGCATGAATTATGAAGTATGGTGCATGAAGAGTATTTACATTATAAGGTGACAAATGTGATATTGTAAAAAAAGTGTTAGAATGTATTCCACTCCCAGCCAGCCCCTATCTCTCTCTCTCTCTCTCTCTCTCTCTCTCTCTCTTTCTCTCTCTCTCTCTCTCTCTCTTTCTCTCTCTGAAAAATCGCTTACCCCACCTATAACTAGAAAATGACTGCATTTACCATCTGTCATTCATAGTTATGATTTCAGGATGTTTAATTAATTTTTTTTTATCTTGCAAATATATTACAGATATATTTTGCATGATTTATGAAGTATGATGCATGAACAGTACTTTTTACATTATTAGGTGACAAATTTGATGTTGTAAAAAAGTGTTAGTATGTACTCCACCCCCAGCCAGCCCCTATCTCTCTCTCTCTCACACACACACACACTCACTCTCTTTCTCTCTCTATTTTCTCACCTTTGCTCTCACTCTCTCTCTCTCTCCACAGGAGGATCAGATGTTCTCGAGTCTCCAGGAGGGCAGTCGGTCGGCAGACGGACTGGCTCCACACTAGACTGGGCATCCGTACACAGTCAGACATTTTCACATCAGTTTTACTTTCATAGCCTCAGCTAAACATGCTTGTTGCTAGCAAACATTCTCACACAAACATATGTATAGACATTCATATATACACATAAATACATGAGAAACCACATGCATGTGCTTGCCTTCAAAATAATTTAAGGCATTCATTATCTTAATTTATATATATACAATTTTCCCCTCAAGTCTAAGTAATCCAGCACATATACTGGATATATATAAATACAGCGTATATACAAAGATGATATTCAAGCATATGAGGACAGACAGTTATTCAATTATTTAGGCAGACACACAAGCATCTATCCACACTATGCCAACATATGATGATAGGAAAGGTAATATATAGGCGAGCAGACCAGCACATGCTACCAGGAGTTGAGATTTTCTTTTTTTTTTTCCAGGATGTGTAAAACACAGACTAACATACTTCACACATTATACACTTTCTGTTGTAGAGCCTCATCATTAAGTCATAAAATTGAAGGGCATTAATTCACAGGGCTTTTTATATTTGTTATGATTTTTGTATTTTTTAATTACGTTGAATAAATAAGTCTAAGTACATAAGTAAGTAAACAAACAAACAAACAAACAAGCAAATAATAACTAATGTAATTAATTTTGTGCCTGGTGAATTTGATATAGGATGAGGTTCATACTACAACAGACAGTGTATAATAAGTAAAGTATGTTAGTCTGTGTTATTTTGACAAATCCTTATTTTAAAAAAAAGTACATTTTTATAAATCATCATCATCTCTCTCTTTCTTTCACACTCTCTCGCTCAGTGAAACCAGAGCGGGGGGCATTCCTTCCTAAAATGGCTCCCTCTTCCTCTGTCTCATCCTAGGGTGGTATTGAAGCAGTATTTCAGGCCTGTCATAAAGTCCCTCAGGGATAAAGTATCATAACTACCTAAATAAGTGTCTCCAGATTATTAAAGTCTTAACACCTCAAGAATATAACGGCATAAGGTTCTCATTATGTTATTTTTAATTGTAATATATTTTTCATACTTAGTTACATGACATATCTTACATTTTAGATTTGGCATAAATTATTATTTTCAGAAATATGTCTTTTGGGGAAAGGGGGTGAGGTGGGTGTAAAAACTTATTCTGTCATCAATTGTCTGCACTTGCTGCCACCTAGTGGCTACTGAACCAACTACATGTCAGTAAGAACATTTTGGAAGGAGCAGGACAATCCTCTGGCATCATGTTTTGGCTACTGGCCATGCAGCTAGTCAATATTTTCCTGGAAGACACGTTAGATGTGAACGCTCACTGGAGCCAAGCAACCTCAGATGTTTTCCTTTGCCGTTTCTGCTTCCATTCATGAGGAGTTGGAGCTCATCCCAAATAGCTGTGTGATCCGTTAGTGATTTATAACTGTGCTGTATTGTTTAATCTCCTAAATTATACTAGCAGTCATTGGAAATGTTTCCACGGTTTT